CTTTATTCAAGAAGAAGAGGATTTGGTTAGAATTTGGATGAAATTTTGTAGCTTTATAGGAGAATGGAGAAAGATATACATATTTTATACACATTTCTTTTTTGATACTCTTAAGGAGGAGGATTTGGTTAGAATTTGGATGAAATTTTGTAGCTTTATAGGAGAATGGAGAAAGATATACATATTTTATACACATTTCTTTTTTGATACTCTTAAGGAGGAGGATTTGGTTAGAATTTGGATGAAATTTTGTAAATTTCTAGAAGGAGATAATGTATGTATCTTATACACGTTTCTTTCTTTATTCAAGAAGAAGAGGATTTGGTTAGAATTTGGATGAAATTTTGTAGCTTTGTAGGAGATTGGAAGGAGATAATGTACGTATCTTATACACGTTTCTTTCTTTATTCAAGAAGAAGAAGATTTGGTTAGAATTTGGATGAAATTTTGTAGCTTTGTAGGAGATTGGAAGGAGATAATGTATTTTATTCACATATATATTTTGATACTGCAAAGAAGGAAGATTTGGAAATTTTGTAAGTTTGTAGGAAATTGGAAGGAGATAACATACGTATTTTATACACGTCTTTTTTTTTTGATTGAAGGAAAAGATGATTTGGTTAGAATTTGGATGAAATTTTGTAAGTTTAATGATTGGAAGGGGTAATAATGATAATCGAAGTTCAACGTGAAAGTAGATCTCTGGTGCTTTCATTTATATTTTAAACTATGTATATCTTTGATTCTAAGAAGTGTTTGGTTATAAAGTTTGAAGTGGAATTTTATAGATAGTAATCTCTGACGAGGAAGGGTTTGGTTAAACTTCGAGCGGAATTTTATAGGTTCGAAGATCGGAAGGAAATATAATTTACCTTCTTTCGAAGATGTGATAATTGAATAATTGAAGCTCAATCTGAGAATAGATCTCTCCTGATTCACGTATATATTCGTGAATAATCTTTGATTCTCTGACGAGGAAGAATTTAAACTTCTAATGAAATTTTATTTAGAAATTATACAATAATAGATTTCCAATATAAAATTGAAAGACAAATTATAATAATATAATAATTATAATTTTAAAAGCAAATTTTCTCGCAAATTTCTACGATTTTCAGAATTTCTGAATATTTTTATCTCTTGTAGAATAGATGAATATATTCGTGCACGGTTCGCGCATAAAATCGCGTTTTCAATTAAATTGTCTCGAGGAAAGGGGTTAAGGAGGGTAAAACCAATTTCCAAACTTCGATTTCCAAATAGGTAAGTTGGAAACAATTCGAACGAATAATTTTCCTCCTCTCAGAAACTCGTCAATTTTTCATTGATATATTTTCCATCCTCCAACTCTTTAAACCGAACTCTCGAGGAGGTGGTTTCGCTCTTTTTAAATTTTAAGTTCTTAAAAAAAAATCGCACTTAAAAAAAAAAATATAAGTTACTTTTGGCCCACTCTTCGAACTCGTGCGCAAAATTTCATTCGAATCTTCATCGAAACAACGAAGGTTGAAATTATTACTAAGATTTCATTCGATCTGTTTAATTGCTTCTTTAATTCATAATGAACAAAGATGCAAAATATATTTTCTATTAACATAGTAATACTATGTTCGATCAACTGGTTATTCATTTTAGTTAGACTGGAATATTATTATTAAAATTTCATTCACTTAGAGAAGCAAGCGTATAAATAAGAAAATTCTTTTCTTCTCGATTCGACTGATTCAATCACGAAATTTACGTTCACGAAATATATAAGCGAAATATATATATATATATTTTTATCAAGATATCGATTTTCCATTCAATCTCGCGTCAAATTAAATATTAATTCAATTATTTCTGCTAATTAGCGTGTATTTCACTTAAAATTTACATATTCGAATGTACAAGGATCGATTTGCCATTTATTCTCTTTTTCTAGTGCCATAAAAGTTTTTAATATAATAATTCGAGATACTGATTCGACT